TGTCTTTCCCTTCTATTTCCTTAATTTCCTTATATTTTTTTGCACCCCAATCTCAGGTGTCACATTATGATTAATTATCACCAGCTCGCTTTCACACTCACTTTATTTTTTTTTTCATTAAGCAGAGGACACTCCTCTATGAGAGGATTGCTTGCGGAAACTACGGGGCTGACGTCATGCTCTCTCCTAGTACATTTTGCCCCCTTGAGTGCAACAAACCAGTGCAAGAGGCGCCAAATTCAGGAGAGGGGCTTCTGAATTTGACTTCATTCTTGAAAATGACTACTCTGTGGCCAATTGACTTTATGAAATATTCGCCGCTGTTCTTGAAAATAGGCTATGCCCTCCTGATTACCACTGGGTCCTGGGCAATGCATATCAGTTAAAGAATCTCTGCGTAGGGGAATAGAACGGTATTATGAAAGATTGTGTTAAAATACTTTACTTTGGAGGTACATTGCTTTTATAGTACTTTACTTCAAGTACATTGCACCCAGTGTACTACTTTACTTGAAGTACATCACGTCTCATTTACTGTGTACTTTCTTTTTAGATGTACTTTACCCAGCACTGATTGCAGGGCCCCTTTAAGTTTAGAGGTTTGTTCTTTGAGTGTGTGCGCTTTTTGAGCACGCTTTTTTGAGTGATTTCTACTCTGCCGAAGGGGGCGGGGTACACATTTTATTCGAGTCAGCTTCCCTTTGAAGCGATCGAGATCTCTTCTACGGGTCCTTTGACGAGGAGGTTTCTCGCTCATCCCGAGACAAACTACGTCACGGTTGCGTTGGATGTCACGTGCTCTCCGCTGGCTGGCTCTCCGAGCGCTTGCCAGAGTGGGCTGTTCATAACGAAAAATACAACCATCAGGCTCAGAATACAAACGTGCGATTGCCATTTACGGATATTGTAGATACTGTTCTGCCTATTTCTGAACACGGCGGGCATATTTCAAATTTCGTTGAAGTATCTATTAAAAGCCACTAAAAAGACTTTTTTTCTTTTTTCTTTTTAAACAGTCTGGTTGGGAGACGCTTGTCGGGAAATGAAATTTATGAAATGAGGCACTCTCGACAGCTAGCTCGACAATCAAAATGTCGCTGAGCACGTAGACTTACTAATCCTTCTGGCATCTTGATATGTTCTTGTGTTTTTTTTTTGTTTTTGTTTTTTAGGGGTAAAAAAAAGTGTCCAACGTTGGTGAAACATAGACAAGTGAGGCACGGGCAGAAAGGTCGATTTTTTTACTTGAAAAAGACAACTCAGTAATTTTAGCTTTTCGGAAACATATATAATAGATTACAGAAAAATAATAAATGAATTACAGCGAATGTTACCACAAAAAAAAAAGAAGCAATTGAAGCGTTAAAACGTTACAATAAAAGTAACTGATTACAAGTAATCAGTTACTTGTAATCAATTACAAGTTACTCGTACCGTATAAGTTTGCTCATATTGAATACGATATCGTGTCTGTAGATCTCGGTGCACTCCTTTATGCAGTTGTTGGCGATGTAGGTTGGAAGAAAAGAAAATGAACGCATAACCGCGACTTCCGGCGAGCACGCCATTGGTTATCGCTTGTTGCTCGCCCTCCCGCGGCGGAAACAGGAAGCGCTCTAGTGAGGGTCCCCCGATTCTCCTGCTCAGCGGGCACGGCGGAACTACTCGCGATCATGGCTCGCGAAATGCCATTTCCGAATGCAAACAAGACTCTTAACTGTCCCAATTGCTGCAGTCGGTATGCGTTAGATTTGCGTGCACCTAGTTGCGCATGCGCCTCGTCGTCATGCGCCAATCCAAGGACGCAATTTCGGGCTTCGCGCACGCGCAGTGTGGAACACGCAAAGCTAACGCGAACAACACACAGCGCTTGCGTTCGCTAAAACTCGCAACTGTTTAACCGGCTTCCAACGTCAACCAACAGTGAGCAGACGCGCAAGCAGGTAGGCGTTCCTTCGAACTGGAAAGGCTCAGGTTTGCAAAACGACGGCGCGTTAAAGTGGAAGTAACTAAATGTTATAAAAAAAATAACAATAACAAAAACGTTTTTTTATTATTTTTTTTTTAAATTTTATTTTGGGGTTTTGGTTCGGAAAGATATTGCAGGCGACTCTGGGGCCGATTGTCAAAAATCGTGTCTTTGATCGTACTATATGCTTTTTCCCACAATTAATGTAATTTTATATGGATTTCTGAGATTAGCTAACATGTTTTCATTGTTTTTAGATTTTTTTCTTACATTTGTTAGTTACTAATTAAAACGGCTGCAATTGGCACCAGTGATGATAATGAGCACACTTTTGATTGTCATACTTGTTCGCGCGTTTGAAATTAGATCATAAGCAAGAAATTATATTGGAGCTTGAAAAACTACGTATTAAAATATTTTAATTTTTTTTAAATATTACTATTAATACAAATTGCGGCAATGTATGCCCCCAATAAACACCACGCTCCCGAAATGCGCCATTTAACCATGATAGTCTTTCCAGAAAGGTCTCATTTTGTTTTCTTTTTAGCATATGAAAAACTGATATCGGTGTCAAGATAGACAAACAGTCAAACACTGGATTAATATAAAGTCCTGTGCGTCACGCGTTGCTTTAAAAAAACACACGCACTTCAGCTCTCTGACTCGGATTCCGTTTTTGGGTTTTTGTAGCGAGAAAAGCGTTTCTTAATGTATACGTTTTGTGAACATTTTGTAAAAATCAGATGGATTCTGCTATTCTTGTGCTGGCAATAATGTTAAAGCAATTAGTCATCTAAATATCCGAAAACCTATTAGAAGGCCCGCAGTTTATTATTTCACATGACAATTATCTGAGCAAGAAAACTCAGCAAAAAGGCACAAATATCAGCACTGATCTGTTTTTTTTTTTAAATACAATATTCTATGTTACCTCAAAGTTGTATGAAAGACCATCTCTTTAAATGGACACTGTACCCTACAATATTTTGAAGTGCCTGTATCGGACACGTATGTCACAAAATAGTTTCCGCGAACAGCTCCCTTAGTTCCATAATTACGCTGGGAGACACAACTTGAGTTATGAACGAATCCAAAATTAACACCTAGATCGGGTAATTAAATCCAAATTAAAGGTTAGTTTCGGTTTCGTTCGAGAATTAAAGCGTGCATCCTGGTGTAGATAATACGCTAAACACACTTTTTATTTTCAGGATAAAGAGGTGATCTGCGGTCATAACACCCTAGCTTCCTCGTATAACCAGAAATAATTTGTGTCTCTCAGTGAAGCCAGCACGTACAGGCTCAGCAGCGGCACGCATCGCCATTTAAGAAAACGAGTGGCGCCACCTATAGACCTTTTTCGTGTACTCTCGCCCCCAGCAACCTAATAGGCGTATCCGGTATGGGCAACGAAAAAATAATAAAACTTGTCAACCTGTAAATAGTACAAAAAAACAGAGGGGAGGCAAAACGAGAATGTGTGACGGTTACGATTATATCCTAAATTCCTTCTATTGGCGTGGCGACGGCAAAACAATGTTTTCGCTCATAGTGGAAGTGACAATTTAAGATGGCGGTGCCCTTCGCGAATAGTCACATGATCGTTTGCGACAACCAGTGGAAGTACGGGTAGTGGAAGTAAGGCGCTACCCGCCACGATGCCCTGCTGCGCGCGGCCTCAGTCGTAACGCTTTTAAGTCTCACTTACGCGTCTCGCTCTCGCGTTCTACGTTTTCACCAGGTTATCTTCGCCTAAAATGTATTTAACGTTAAAAACGCATTTGCGATAAAATTATTATTATTATTATTATTATTATTATTATTAGTTCAGAACGGGTTCGATTAGCCTACGCTATACGTTTCCTACAGCCTGCCAATTGACTGGCAGGAAGCTCGCGTTCTTTCTCTTTCGCATTTTCCTTCGAGGACCCCAGCGGCGCTCGTCATCGAGGAACAGGGTCAGATCTTTCAATCGAGACAGCCGCGGCGAAAGCACCCGACGGACAGCCGAACATTGACCGGGATGGCCTCGATACGCGGCCATCGACGGCTGGTGACGTTCACGAGCACCGACGCGAGATCACGACAGCACGTGTAAAGCAGCTTTATTTAAATCGTCTGACTAGTCTAAAAAAACAGGAGTACTGAAAAAAAAAAAAAAAAAACACCCCAGTTTGCTGAGCTGTTTGGTGCGAATGAGAAGCATGCAACGCTCTATCACGCCTGTTTACAAACGTGCGAATGTTTGATTGTATCGTTGAACTTGGTAAATGAGCGATGCCGCTGTTCCTCCAATCTCCTACAATGTGCTCTGATCAGGCTACGGACGGAGGCTCATAAAGGAAAAAAACAACAAAAGAAAAAAACACCCCAGTTTGCCGAGCTGTTTGGTACGAATGAGAAACATACAACGGCGATATAGGTTGTTTGCACATGACGTCAATCCGCCATTTTGTTGTTAGTTTGTTTTTTCAAACAAATTTACTATACATTGAAGGATTACATCGTAACCGGTTGAAATGATGTCAGCGGTGCTCTACACATTTGAGAAGGCATGCAAATCCTTGAAATGCTCGAGTTTGGCACACGCCAGACAGATCGCAACAACAAAATGGTGGACGAAATTACGTCAGTGAAAACACCCTATACTATCACGCCTGTTTGCAAACGTGCGAATGTTTGACTGTATCTCTGAAACTAGTAAATGAGCGATGCCGCTGTTCCTCCAATCTCCTACAATGTGCTCTGATCAGGCTACGGACGGAGGGTCATAAAGAAATATAATAAAACTCGAATTGTGAAATGCTGACTAACAAACCCAAACCAAAACCGAATTTACGATGAGCCTCAGTGTTGCCCGGTGATAGACTGTATACTCTGCCTTCAATAGACTATTTTGTCGCAAATGTGTCATCAAAAGATCATAAAGTTATATAAAATGATACTTCTATTGCATTTTTCCTACAACTATTTTAAATAGACCATATTTTTGTCACATGGGAGGTAGTTTTCTGAACGTGTCGTCTTTATTTGCCGTCAGGGGGCGAGCCTCCGCCCCATCATTTTTTTTTTTCTCTCCGTGTTTGTCGCTCACGTTAGCTCACGTTGAAGCTTGCGGACGAGTGCGAATTTGATGTCGGCTAAGGTGGAGTGCCTACTTTCACGCTGTCTAGGAGGTGCATGCATTTAATTTCACAGCAGGTGAGCTCTCCGAGAAACAATACTTTCTTCCAGTACCGATGTCTACCCCGGCAAAGAAACAAAAACGAACTCGCCGCTAACTTGTTTTGACAGTGTGGCAGCCCTGCCAATACGCTTGGAAGGGTTTCCGTACACCGTCTGCCGGTTCTCTGTTGATAGTCACGCTTCTAAACGTGCACGTCACGCTCCACGTACTCCGAAAGTCATCATCTACAACCCGTAACGCAGCTAGTTATTCTACACTTTCGCTGAGCGGTCCGAAATCGCCCCCTTTTACTCTTTGCCGAGTAATCCTGGGTGTGTGCCTCGACTTCCTTGGGGGTCTTTTCTCCAAATCTCGTAGCATTTCCAGCAATAACTTTTTACGTGGTTGCTGTGACCGTCGCTTTGAAGTGCACTCCAGTCAAAGGAACCACGGAACGGACATCCGTTCTACCGAGTTCCGGCGGCTAGTCTTATAGGCAGCGCGAAAAAGCCCGTTTTCGATGGCCCCGATTCATTCCCGCTTTCGTTGGTGATATAGCGAGCTGCGCAAAGAAGTAAAAAGAAACCAAGGAAAGCGGGGGTTGGGACTTGGCGCACGCTACCGACGATCTTTGACGGCACTGTCGTTCACGCTTGACGCGCGAAAAATTTGCCGTAGGTGTTTCGAAGTGTTGTCGCTTCCTCTCGCAAGCTCACGGGTGGACCTCCTCCGGTATCTTCCTAACAAACGCTCTTGCTCAGAATGTCGCGTTCTGGAGGAGCCGAGGGTATCAAAAACATAGCAACATCAAACCTTGGAAGTGTTACCGGGGTGTGTGTGTACTCGCTTGATTTCGTTCTTATTTGTAGTCCTTTCAAAAGTTTGAGTGCTCCCTGAAGTGTGAGTTATGCAGTTGGACGCCTGCACCAGTTTCTTTGAAAGTGTGTATATTTTCTCCTGCTGCGACCGGCGCTTGGTTATCTCCGAGAGGCCTATTCTGTCCACCCAGTTCGTCGTCATTCTTCTATTTGGGGCCTTGGGGCTAATGTAACCATGCCTAACTTTTGCCGCCTCGTCTGCACTTCACGCTACTGTTCTCTACAGGAAATGTCCATCATCCCGTCAGGTTTGTAATGTTTATGGGAAGTGGTCGATGCCATACTTTGGGTAGACGGCGAAAAAAGGGTGCGAGCTCCGTTGCTTGCGTATCGGTGCTCTCTAAGGTATTCTTGACACTCTGTGCAGTTCCACCCTTGATGCATGGCAGTTTTCATCATCCTTCTCCTTTACTGGTTGCTAAGTTTGTCTTCTTTGCTTTCCTTGCAGCTACGGATGACGTAGCCCAGGGGTGAGTAATTTTTCTGTTTTCGTTGTGCCTGCTTACTTCTACCTCTGCCTTCACGACTCGTACGTGACTCCAGCTAATGTTTCCAAGGTTGTGAGTCGAGCCCAGGGTATGCACAGGTGTGCCTGCACTGCTGCCCTGCACAGTAATTGGATGCATTTCTAGCGAATCTGCTGGTGGGATGCGGTGCACTCTGCTGCTATTTTAAAAAAGGCCCTGGGTAAAAAGAAAACGGGTCAAGACCGCATTGGCAGGGTGTAGCGGGGGCTTTTTGTCGTCGAACATAGGCATCTTTTGAAGGTACGTTGTTGCTTCAACTTAACTGGTGCTGTTTGTTTCAAGTTACGGATCAAACGAAAATGGAAATGCCGTTTCATAGAAACTTTGCCATTTTGAAAGTCTGCAATCTGGCATTATTCAGAGTGTGCGATGCTTCCGCTTGTTCAGGGCTGCATTTGCACGGAGACGCATCGCGTCGGTGCGGTAGCTTTGATGGGACTAGCAGGCAGTACCGTCGGCGTAAGTTTGTCGAGGCGCTGACTGCTGTAGTGCATTTGAATTAAACGCACGTCTTCATAGATGCGGCCTTGCGCAAGCATTATTCTGCAGATGGGCATACCATGGTGGGTGGTTATTGCTCATCAAAATGGTTGTGAGCGTTCCTGGTGGAAGTTGTAAGTTAAGAATGCCTGGAACACCTGTCCTTGTTTACACAACCAAAATTGCTTGCATAGTTTGTTTCTCTTTTGCTAGCATCGCAGCGGATGCTTTAGGTGCTCTTTCGTTTAGAAATTGGCTTGCCTGGACAGACACACATAAAGTGGAAGATTTGTTCTTATTGGAAGTTAACAAAATTTCCAGTTAGTTATTGATCTGGGTAAAGCTTAAAATTGTGCTGATGCATACATAACTTTTTTCGGCCTGGTATAAAAAAAAATAATTTGTCTTGGCACCGATATGCTTTATAAATATATTCTAGAAACCACACAGGAATATAAAGGAAACAAAACTGTTTTTAGAAATAAGACAAAGTGTGATGGTGTGCTTTATTGCAGGATGTCTGCCAAGGCTGGAGGGCCGCCCAGTTTTGCAAGGGCGGTGATGGACACCGCCGAGACGGATAGCCACAAGGAGAGGGTCGAAAGGTAATTGTTTTCTTTAGGCCGGTTGATGTAGAGCCTCCATGTTTATAGAGTGAAGAGGCATGTACAGCTCTTATATGACAAACAGGAGGCACAACTATTCAAATGTCTTGTACAAGTGTCTCCCTCACAAATGTGTCTCGCTGAACCAATGTGTCTCGCTGAACCAATGTGTCTTGCTGAACAAATGTGTCTTGCTGAACAAATGTGTCTTGCTGAACAAACGTGTCTTGCTGAACAAACGTGCCTTGCTGAACAAACGTGCCTTGCTGAACAAATGTGCCTTGCTGAACAAATGTGCCTTGCTGAACAAACGTGCCTTGCTGAACAAACGTGTCTTGCTGAACAAACGTGTCTTGCTGAACAAACGTGTCTTGCTGAACAAACGTGTCTTGCTGAACAAACGTGTCTTGCTGAACAAACGTGTCTTGCTGAACAAACGTGTCTTGCTGAACAAATGTGTCCCGCTAAGCAGACGAGTCTCACTGAACAAGTGCCTCTTTCACAGATTCGTCATGTACGAATGTCCTGCACAAATGCCCCATCTTGTTGCTCAAATATCTCTCAGAATGAATGTGACTTGTTGCACAGGTGTGTTCCACTAATTGGAAGTTCTACTTATTGGAAGTTCTGGTTATTGGAAGTTCTGGTTATTGGAAGTCCTGGTTATTGGAATTTCTGGTTATTGGAATTTCTACTTAATGGAAGTTCTGCTTAATGGAAGTTCTGCTTAATGGAAGTTCTGGTTATTGGAACTTTCGCTGATTGAAAGATCTGCTGCTCGAAAGATTGAAAAATTCACTTATTTAAAGATACACACTAATTGAAAGATACACTAATTGAAAGATACACTAATTGGAAGAGACACTAATTGAAATATCCACTAATTGAAAGTTTCACTTATTGAAAGTTTCACTTCTTGGAAGTACCACTTATCGGAAAAAAGTCGAGTTCATTTTGGAGGCACCTGGATTGAAAGAGGCATTTTATGAGGTACCACACATCCAGGAAGCACCACTATCGGAGAGCTCCGCTTAAGGAGATTTTACTGTAACTCTGAATCATAGTCGCCAACGGGACAGCCCTTCGAAGGTTTCGATTTTTTCGGACTCGAGCAAGAGCTCACGTACCACTAACCCTTCTGTTCAATGTGACTGCAGGTACAAGAAGCAGCGCCGTGAGGAGCTGGCAAGAAAGTACAGCGCTAGGGCCACCGCGGAAGCTAATGGCACCCAGGCAGCCAGGGCTCCCAAGTCTAAAGCGGTGCCGGCGAGAACTGCCGAAGCCGAGAAGCACGCCAGCGAAACGTCTCGAGGTTGCGAAGAGCCCGCCCCCTCCGAGAGGTCTGCAACTGGCGAGAAGCCGTGCGACAGGCGGGGACTACCTCCCAGTGTTCGGATGACAAAGGCTTACCAGTGAGTTGCTTCGTCCGCTCAAAGTGGCATTGCTGCGAGTTTGGTTCTTTCCTAGCAAAGCGGGTTCAGTCAATTGCGTTTGTCGACTGCGTTACATCCACTCCTACTATGAGAACGCACTGGTGCCATCTACCGGGCAGCCCCGGAACACTTTCTCATCTTATTATCATTCTTTTGCCATGTGCTTGAAATATTTCTGGCAATGTTTTATTGTTCTCATAGATGTCGGCTTGATTTCGCAAATACTGCAAAACTTTCAGTCTAGTACATATACGCAGGTCGGTTCCAGGGCTACCTGATGGGTGGCACCAGCGTGCTCTTTCGTCGTAAGTGGTAAGGAATCCAGTCGGTCGCGCCTAAATGCGAGTCTGCGAGCCAGCCGTTATGTTGCAATTAGAAATGCAGTTGCATCGTCCTAAGTGGCTAGTTGCCGGTGGTTGCTCGCAGAAAGTAGCCAAATTACATCCCAATAGTTTCGAAATTGGCCCTCACTTTCGAGCTGTTCTGAAATTTTTGACCGCTGGCATCCTTTACAATGTGAAAGGGTATGGGCACAGTTCTACCTCGATTCACCCTTTTGCCTGCAGAAGAGTTGATGGCAGAAAGAGCAGGTAGCGCCGTTGCAATAACAAAATCTGTAGATTTTTGTATTTTTCTATCTGATTATAAAAAAATGGCGATTGATTGAGCGGGGTTCCTCCAAAATTGTAACTAAGTTAGATTTCCTGAAATTTCATTGAAACTTCCGAGGTATCTTATTACTGAAATAATAACTAAATACAGGAACTTAAACAACTCTAGTTAGTTGCTTTTGCAGCCCTTATATGCAAAGCGCTTGAATCAGGCTTGCGTACACATGCACCTAAAGTAACCACTCGGATTAGTGGCCTATCTAATGTTCAACGGCTTGAGTGCACCTCAAGTCGGATCATTCACCCGTTAATTTTCTACCTTTGCCGGAGGGAAGGCTTTTCCCGTGTCTTATTTAGTTTATTTCGTAAGGGCTCGGCCAATTGTTACGTAAAAAGTAGCAAAAAATCGGACGCCACTCTGGCTCCTTGTTAAACATTGCCTGAACCATAAATACTTGGTAGAACAGGTGGTTGTAGATGGGTGAGCTGCTTTGGTGGCAGAATATGAATCCGTCGATAACATATAGCTTTTTGGGGGAAGTCTTTCTGGATCATAAACGGGGGAGGGGTTGATGAGGTGTAAGTAAAACTTGTCATCTCTCTGGCATTAAAGCTCATTCTGCTGCAGCCCACGCCGCACAGCCACCCACTGCTTTGCCGAGAGCACAAACATGAGCACTTGTTTTTCAATTGCTGTTATGAATAAAAAAAGAAAAGTGAATTTTGTTCCCACATAGGAAGACCTCTTAGCTTGCCCTTTCTGTACGCCAACTCAACTCTGCGATAACACTCCGCTGCGGTGGCACTGCCGTTGACGCGTGTGCTTTATCTTGCGAGAGTTTGGTTTCTGAGCACGTACTGTGCCCACACTCAATGTGGTCGGACGCCTGCTTGTTTGCAAACAGCGTGTTGGTGGATATGAGTGTGCATCGGGTTTTGGGGGGGGGCATGTTGTATGCGGCGGTAATTTTGCTGCCCAGCTGCGAAACTGATCTGGCTGTATTGCCTTGCAGCCTGCGCCTGCTCTCCAATGCCGCCACCAATGCTCACAATGCCTTAGGTACGTCTTGCCTATTCCCCTGCAGGCTTAATACCATCCAAAGTCCTGCCTCGTGTTACAAACAGGTTACAGGGTCCCGCCTCGTATTTTCGTTTCGTCTGTCGTGCCCCTCTATTTAAAAATTTAACCACGTTTGTAAGCAGTATAAGAGAAGACTTCGAAAAGATGTTTAAACTCGCCCTAATTCTACGAATGAAGTCTCGAGGCACACAATGTGCAGCATGTTTTGAGCTCCTCATGTCACTGGAGCTACAAGCTCTTTGGGCCACACGAGTGCACATATAGCAACTATAACTAGTCGAGCAACTATGAAAGCTGCTCGACTAGCGCAGTAGATAAGGTATCTAGTTACAGATTGAGAGGTCGGTAGTCCGATTCTCGCCGAGGGACAATTTTTCATAAAGACAACCGGCAGTGCTATGCTGTCTTAGTTACAACATTTTGCGACGCTCTAGGCTTGGAAGCCAGCCCTGAAACACATTCTGCGTTGAAACATGGCAAACAGTGGATGCATCGAGGAAGTGTCGTCCACTATTCTTCGAGCGAGGTTCATCCATGGGCCGAAATGTTAGATTAGTACACCCAATTGGAACTTGACACAGATCTCTCGTGTTCTACCACAGATCCAACTCAGCACAACGCCAAGCCTGAAGCGCCTCATCGAGGGGAGCGCCACGGCCTCTTGCGGCCTTTGGACCTCAACGAAAATGTGCCTCTTAAGGTAGGTCCCTTTCCGCGCACCTTTTGCTTTAAAGCTGCGACGGACGTTTTCCTTGACATCTGGAACAAAAGATGTTCATTACCTTTTGTTTTTAGAAACAAAAACGTGTTATGGGGGAGGTTCCATTGGTTTGCAGCTATCGCGTCGAGTTTGTGGTCGCAGGGACGAAGCATATTTACCAGACGGCATTGGGTCCGGGAATTTTTAACCGGTGTTTGTTGATTGTCTCAAATGTAACTTTCAATGATGCAAAAAAGATACTTTGCAATACTGCTCCTCTCGGTATGTGTATGAAGTTTGGTTCGCATAATTGGTTGGTTGCTGTAGGTCCGACTGATTGAGCGATCTTGTGTGCAGATGTTTGCATTTTCGCGATTAAAAGGACTCGGTTCAAATGAGGCAACCTTCTATTCTGAAAATTAAAGAGAAACAAAAGAAAATAGTACATTAGGACTTGCGACAAACGCATAATCTCGTCAATGGTGGAGGCGGCAACGAGATTTGATGCCTAATAGGAGTGAAAATCGGTCTGCCTTTTCTATCTGTAATTCTTGTATGTCTATTAATTTTGAACACTGGTAGAAGTTTTACGGGAGTGCCAACAATAGCCGTAGTCCTAAATTGTTAACCGAGAACCTAAATGGCGTCTGTGTACAAGCAGAACGAAGTGGCAGTTTTCAATCTCTTCTTTTGTTCCCGCACAAAATGTTGTCGGTACAATTTCCTTGGTTAGACATTTTTGTGGCACGGTTCGCCGGCATATATAAGGAGATTTTCCTCTAGCTGCGTAGGAAAATGCCCGAAACGCCGGAAGCGCCGAAACTCCTCCGTTGCTCGACTCGGCTCGTCAGTCTAGTGCATCGACTAAGAATCCGACTTTGGCCGGCTTAGTTGCGTGCTTGCATCGTCCCGCCTCCAGCTCCGAAGTAACACTGCCAGTGGCCGCTCGGAGAACAACCCCAGTGGATCGTCAAGAGCCGCTGCAGAGAAGCCACCCAGGCGGAAGGCAGCCGCTGCTGCAAACCGACCATCCGACGCAAGTCTTTTCTCCAGCTCAGGTAAGGTCGACCCGTTCGATTCCTTCCGCTGCCTCTTACGAGTAATAAGAAGGAACATGTGCGAGGATGCATATTTTGCTAGTTGAACACGGTGTCTTCCAAATCTTTGTGCCGCTGTGCATTTCAGTTTTCTTAACACCTGCACTGTCATGCTGGGCGCACCACGAAACGATGTTGTATTTACGTGAAGCACAGATTGCGCCTTTTATATGAGAACCTCAGCGCTACTTAGTTTTGCCTTCTGTTTGTTTATTTTTTATTTTTTTGTTTTGTTCGAGGCTTAAGTGTATTGGAGCTTTCTATACTAGGAATCTGGTGGAAGGGTTCTCCTAAGTCCAGCTAAATTTAGCTTTATTCGAGAAGCTTCGCTTCTGCCGCGACATGCAGTCCGGCAAGCGGGTTTTTGCTGAAGCGGACGGCGTCGGCGGATAGTTTTTGGCGCTCGTGTTTCTATTGGCACTACAAATGCATAGTCTGCGAGGAGCAGACATATTCCGTTCCGCAGGGTTCGCTTTGAGCTACATTCCAGTTTTAGCAGGAAAGGTTAATTACGGTGGAATGCCCTACGCCAGAGAGGGAAGTACGCAGTTTCCTTACGGCCCAGTCGGTGTTGCTGGACTAAGAACTGGATCTTCTAAGTCTGCTGAAATTCCTAGGTTTTGAAGGGCGTTACAAAGGGACGTGGTGACGCGTGAAAAACGAGGAAGCATTAGTTGCGCTGTTGCGAGCGAAAGGAGGAATCTAGCCATTTCATTTGCAAAGTTTTTGGCGTCTACAAAGCTGCATATGCCACGTAGTACGAACGAGATACCTCCCTTCATCTCTGCTGTGTGGGTCATGTAGTGGTGGAGCTAATGAGCAAGCCGATAAACTTGCACCGTCATCTTTCTTTAAAAGTGGACCGGCAAAATATTTTTCAACCAAAATGAAAATACTTCTCGCCACCCTTCCCGTAGCAGTGGGAGAGGGGGAAAGGGGCGAGGAGGATTTTCACTATGGTTACTAAATCTTTTGCACGTCGGCCTTTAATTGCTAAAGTAATGCCTTGGCTGACGAGCCAATGTTTTTTTTCGGGTGCTAAAGGGATTATGAAACAATCTTTGGTTCTTCGGCTTACAAGTGTGCAGGAGAAACACATTGCATTCATAAAACATACAACAGGTATGAGTTTGTGTTTTTAAGAGCTCTCGTTTTTTTTTCCCTCTCAACTACCCGCGTCTTCCACTGAAGTTACTTCCCTTTTTAGAATGTACAAAAGGATTGTCCATTGACGACGTGTAAAACGCCCTTACATCTTTGGCGGCCAAACGACCGGACCCAGGAAGCAAAAGAACCGCTCTTCTGCCGGCAGGACAATTCGTTTGTCGGAACACGAAGCGTGCTTTCAAGGGAGATCATGCAACCGACTGGGGCACGAGTAAAAGTAAAAATAAATGGCAAACCAAACAGAAATGCCTGCATAGTAAGAAAGGTGACCGCCGTGCCGTCGTTATGCCACTTGCAGATTGGGGTCGTTAACCTTCGAAGTAGCGGAATGATGTGAGCAAAAAACAACTCTGCGGCCAGTAGCAACTTAAGACCTGTGCGTGTCTCGCATGAAGTATTGAGCTGCGGAAATTGTGGCAATTATAGGAACTTGTGTTAGTCACTTCGCACTCGCAACTCTACACTCTTGCTTCTAGACTCTGTGCTGTTGACCAAGAAGGCACCGCCTTCCAAGGCATGGGAGTGGTCGCCCACGGGGTTGTCATGCCGACAGCAGGATCCAGAGATCACGAAACACTTTTCGTCTGGACAACTTTACTAGTACAAAATATATTTGGAACAGCTCAAACCTAATGAATGATTGCGAAAATCGGATGATCAATCTATCATTTGAAAAAATTGCTGCTGGCACCACCCCTAGACTTTGCCTGGAAAAGTAAAACGAAATCCACATGCGGAACGTTATCATTGTTTTGGCTGTGCCAGACGTCCTCCACTAAATTAGCAGATTTCATTGATTTGGTGCCTGTGAAACGTTGTTGGCCAGTTTACTAAACATTCAGAAGGTATTGCATCGTAATACTTGATTTTTTTTTTCAATAAGAATGATTGAGCAAATTTAACCTTTAAAATTGTATGCAGAGTCTCGCAGCACTGTAAAAAGAAAGAATGCGGATGGCTGCATTCTTTCTTTTACAGCCCCGGTCTCAAACTTTTTGGAGGAAGGCCAGCTTTTGCAGCACGTGTATAATTCTCAAATTGGGAGTTCTGTTTGTCTTTTCTAACGGGGCAGGATGTACAAGTTCAATTTTCGTCCTCGTTGCATCCATTCCCATCGCAATCCTTTCGACGCCCACGTAGCCAACTAAGCCGCAGGCACTTCCATCGCCCAGTTGTCCGCTTCATTTGCAGAAGGTGTTGCTGTTTTGACGGCCGCACCCCCTCCCTCTCGCGTCGTCGTTGTTCCTGGCCCTGTCCCAACTCTGGAGCCTGGGTCCTCCTCTCCCTCCGCGGTCTCCAAAATAGCCCCCCCCCCCCCTCCCCCCCTTTCTCAGACCTAGTTTCCAAACCCCAATGCCAGCGGAGAGTCTGAGACCCAGTTTCAGGACCCGCGCACGCGCGTGGATTCTGGAAAGATGCAGACGCTGCGGAGCGCTACGAGACACCGCCCGCTCCGCGCGAGCGCCGCGTAGTTGCCCCCACCCTCCCTCGACAAGAGCTCCGACGTCCCTCGCAACTGCTCCAACTGTGCTCCGACTGTGCTCCAGTGCGCTTACGAGGATTTGGGACGGCTGTGTTTCTCCTTTTTGGCAGGTAGTGCGGAGTTTGCGGGCTTTGTGCGCGCGTTTCTGGACTGTCGTTCGTCAGCTCCCCCCCCTGCCCTGCGAGGGAGGGGTATTTCTGACCGGTGTTCTCCCCCAGAGCTGCCATATTTCTCAAGTTGAAGGTCAAAGGTTGGGTTGCGTGTGTTTTGGGCGTCTCGGGGGGGGGTGAGTGGTGTGACAGAGCTTCGATCGGCTCCCAAGCACGAGGCGATAAGGTACGACGACGTTTGTTGCGTCGGGATAAGAAACGAGTTTGTGGTGGCAGTTGCCTCGAGTGCTGCAACTTTATAATGCGTCTGTTTTTAGAAAGCGAGGCTCGTCATCGGCACTTTAGGGTACGAAATTCCTTATAACCATGCAATCGGGCTTAAAAGTTCCTTTTTACGTTTGACTCGCATAACTTTGTCTTTAAAAACAGATTAGTAGCGACGATTTCTTTGGAATGGAGGACAGAGCACCCGATTTCTGCGATCACTGACACATTAATTTTGTTTTGGGTTAGCACGATTAGAGTTGTTTATGCGAAGAGAGTTTTGTGCTTTCCCGACCTAGCTGTCAATCTAATAACCCTGTGTATAACTGCTTTCTGTGTGTGACTGCTTTGCTCTGCGAGCCTGTGCATTTCTGGTTGAGTGCGCAGTGTTTAGAAGCGAGTTGTTGCCTGCAACCCGCATTATGGACGATTTTTTGAAGGAAAAGTGGTGTCCATATTAATAAGATACGTTTATGTTTGAAGGAGCGTATGTGTGCGAGTATAATATTTTCCGGGATATAAGTCACATATTTTTTTCGAACTTCTCGTCCGTGCATTTCACACAACCATGTGTCTTCAATTTTTTTTTTATCTCTAAATGTATGAACGTTAACTTAGCAAGTTTGCCACGGGGGTTATATTTCTCTTTCGATTAGTTGGTGAGAATATTGGAACTGGCTCCTGCTTCCGCTTTTATTGCAGTCGTAATACATATTGCGGGTTTATCAATGCAGTTTCGCCGTGCCAATAGTACAAGAAGCGAGACTTATATAAGAGGTGCGATTCATATAAGTTTTCTGAAAATGGCTGTTTATAGGAGATGGGTGCAACTTATAGACCGGGAAATACCCGAGAAACTTTCCCTGCTTTACAAGAGGTGGCGCGGGATGGCGCATTCGAAGTTTTGTGCCACCTGTTGCGTTACATTAGCTGCATTCAGAAGCGGATGAAATGGATCACCCAGTACACTGAAACCCGTTTAGAACGAACCCAAGCACAGCGAATTCTTATCGATATCGAACTCACGGAAAACGTAAATAAAAATGCATGTAAAAAGTATGTTTTATAATGAACAACATATTGGCTATATCAAACTTTTTCTCCCTGGAAGGCTTCCAAAAACGAGCAATCATTCGTCTTCTAGCCTGTTCTTCCCCCTAAAAAACAAGTAGGAAAGAGAAAATTTCAAGAGCTCAAGTCGCGAAAAAAATTGAGCTAAGAGAAGTGATTTAGAAGGGGAGAAAGCTAAAAAATACACGCTGCACAGATGAAGAAAAAAAACTTTTTAGCACGTTGTTACAAGGTGGAAATGAAGGTATGAGAAAGAAAGAGAAGCTCTCGCCTCACAACGAACTCATCGTGGAAGTTTGTTGTGAATGTTTTTTGCTATATCGAACTACTTGCTCTATTGAACTGAAGGTAGCGTTTCCTGCTGTTCGTTATAAACGGGTTTGACTGTAGAGAATTCTTTGAGCACAAGCGGGGCTTGCACCTTTTAGCTCACTTCTGCTTTTTACAACAGAGCTGTTAGGGGCTAGCTTCCCCAGTTTCGTGTCCGGTACCAAACAAATGTCGACACAGAACTGCACAAAACTCTGGACAGCTACCGCCATCTATGAGCGACAGCGGCAACCAGACAACCAATCTGGTTGCCGCCGTCGCTCGTAGATGGCGGCAACGTTTCCAGCCTTTCCGTCAAGGTGTGCGACGGTCTGGTGGTCACCATCGTGTACGTCCCCCCCGCGACGCCCAAGAGAGACTTGAAGCATTCATGATGGACTTTTTTGGCTGGGTCATGCTCGGCGATGGCACGTCTGCCGTAGTGATGGGCGACTTTAACGTTGACATTGCATGCAAGGAGGGAAAATGATTCAATTCGTTTATGCTCGAGCGTTTCGGGCTTGCGTGTGTGAACAAACCTACGGTGCCCACGACCAGGCATCGGACATGTATAGACCTCATCTTCACGAAGAACATGCTTGCCGTCAGCGTACACCCTATGGCGATGTGCCACATCGATCACAAGGCCACGGTCACTGTGGTTACGAAATAAATAACAAGCCCGGATCATTATATATACGTCTTGATTCTTTAATTGTTCAAATGACCAATTACCCAATCACACCTTAATCCTTACATTTATAAATACTTCATTCCCACCATAGTAGAGCTTCGCTGGTCTTCCTTCTTCACCAGAGTGGAAAGGCTGACAGTTTTTATGTCACGCTTGTGCCAAGTCTTCGGTCGTCGCTAGTCATCGACTGTTTTCCTTCAGTTTCAGACAAACCCCGGCAGTTGGAACCTTTGAATTCTCTCTCCGTGTCTTCCCTGGTGCCGACCGAATCCCAGTCTGCCGTTGCCACCGAATCCAGTCACAATCTTCAGCCCTGTGAAGTGAGTGTTCGCATTGTCAACTTGCGTTGACAGGGTGTTGCGCGGCCTTTGAACACCTTGACTACCGTACAATGTGCGAGAGCCCTCTGAAAAGTTCAGGGAACAACCCTCCGAGAATTCTTCATTATCTGACATTATGCTTTCGCCTTAGTTTTAAAAAATATGTCGTATGTGCATACTTGGATCATCGTAGGAAATATTGGTCTTAGGAAACTGCTAAAAGGGCTTGTTCAAATCAACCGTTGAGTTGCACAGAGTGTCTTTTCCCCTACCCGTTAGTGCGCTGCGGGGAAGGCGTTCGGAGTGTCTTTCGTCCGCAGCGCAGGTGTGCTCCGAGAAAGCGAGATGGGGCAGCATTTTACGGCGATAGTTCTTACGGGCTCTTCTCAGCACTGCAAATGACGTCTGTTGTAGTTGTTGTAGTTGATGTAGAGCGTTCGTCACCGAAGTCGCAAAATACTGAAAAAAGATTGCCCGCGGGAATCTAGCCTGGGTCCGCTACGGGTAAAGCAGAGATGTTGCCACCGAGCTACGCCACAGCGTTAATAACCCGCCCTATACATTAGCTTTTTGTAGTACTTGATGCCCACCGCACGCGCTCTGGAAACAGAAAATGGCCGACAACCAAATGTCGTCGTAGCACCGTCGATGCCAAGTGCTCTTGCCGGGAGACGGGAAAGAAACAAAAGTGTTGGGAATGGGTCGGAACAAGATGGTCGGGTGTGTCTATCTTGTTCAAGCACCCCACGGTGCGCGGACATGACGCCGGTGCCCAACGACTTCGCCGTGACTGTACTGGGGATGTATGCGAGACTGCTCAATTTTTCATTTCTATTTTGGCAAAGAATGCTTCCTAACAACTGCAGCTGCAGAGTAGTTTTGTTTATAAAGTCTACTCTCATTAATTCAAACTCTCTTAATTCAAACTTGTGGATAATTCAACCTAACATGCAGGTTCCATCCTATGGGTCTCTATGGAAGGAAACTCCTGATAATTCAAACTTTCCTTTATTTAAACAAATTTTTGGACCCCGTCGAGTTTGAATTAACGAGATTCGACTGTATATTCGAGTAAAAATGTTAGGCTTCTGGAATGCATATTTTGTGCAGTCAGGCTTACAGGCTGATTGGTAACTGAAACAATGCAGGTTTGTGGCAAAATTGCTCACCTACAACTTTGTACTCATCTAAAAAGTGTAGAGAATGCTGCTCTTGTATGTAGAAACGGCACTTTGCCTCGATATGGGGCATGCTTTGAGAGTTGATTCTTTTTCTCTTAGCCAAGATTTGTTCGAGCTTTGGTTAACAATGTACCTGGTAGAAACTACCGCAGTAAAGGGAGTTCTTTCGAATGTAAAGTAATAAAGTATGTACAAACATCCATTGTTTACTTCACTATGTGGATACTTTTGCTAAAACGGTACAATATTTTCCGGGCTATAGTCTACGGACTATACACGTTTAGAAGTTGAAATTTTAGGCTGTGCAAACTCTATGCGTGTGGACTATGCAAGATTTTTGTTTTTCTAGATAATTCATTATGACGAGACGTGACGAATTTTGTAAATGAGAGTATATGTTAATAATGATATATGTGTAATACAAGCTTCTTTGTAAGCTAAGAAAGCAGACATTTCTCAATATGTGCCGTGTACGAGAACATTTTTGTGCGGACTATGCACCGGGTGCAAACTGTGTAAGCAAAAACCTTTTTTTTTTTTTGGTCTACATTTGTTTTTGTGGTCTATACACCGGGTGCAGACAATTGCCCGGAAAATATGGTACGTACACTACGGAGGTTCATAGTGTATTTGGAAAGGCAATAATTACGGTATGTCGACGCGTGTCATTAAAATTGCTAAAAATATTGTCACTTGTGTCTTGATGACGGACATTGAAATATTCGCTTGCACTTAGAAGTCCGAAACTTCGGTCTCATGCTTTTAAACTGATTGGTGTCTTCCACCTTGCAATAAAATAAAATCAAATCATCCGATGGGCTAGTTGGGTAAACATAATTAAAAAAATAGCGCAAGGACGACGGAAGGAAGAACGAGAGACAGGAAAGCGCTCTTTCCTGTCTCTCGTTCTTCCTTCCGTCGTCCTTGCGCTATTTTTTAATTATGTCTTCCACCTTGCCTGCCTTTTTGTTTTTATAGCTGCCATGAACTTCGAAAGCTTTTTTTATGCAATTGAGTTGTGAAATGACATTCCTCTTAAATGTGGGGCTATTAATTTCAGTAGTTCAAGGCACACTCGTGTAGAGAAGGCTAGATTTCTCTTCGTGTTCCTAGCTGTGTCTTGCTGGACCAGGAAATATAAGAGAGTTTTGATTGTGTGATCATCGGTGTAGCTTGCACCATTTAGCTTACTGCCCGTTTCAAGCTAGTTTTGGATGCCCTTTTGATTTGCATAGAGTATCAAAAGCTATAATCTAAGATATTTCTGTTTTTTTTTTAGGCGGGAGAGCTCAAAATCTTGCGACCTACCGAGAGTTCAAGTTTCGCCGAAGCCGCGTCACATCATCGGGTCTTGGATGCCGAAGCCAACGTCGACGTCCACCCCCAGCACCAGCCAAGAGTGTTTAGCGTCACCTACCATACCACCTCCACATCCTTTCTCGAACCGTCCAATAGGCTAGCGTTGTCGCCCGAGGGATCGTTGGGCGCTGAACACCCGAAGCCAATTGCGTCGCCCCGCGACGAGGCCTCCGAAGACGCCCGAGACGACGAAAGGGCGGAGGAGCCGAGGTCGTGCCGCCGCGCCTCGCTCTCCGACGCGGTGCACGGCATCCTCAAGGCGAACTCGCGCGACGAGGACGCGTCGGTGGGCGGCGACCGCCGGCCACGCCACTCCATCCTCAAAAACAAGTCGAGCAGCTCGGAGGAGCGGGACCACTCCCCGGAGCTCCACTCAATCCTCAAGAGCAAGCCGGAGGACATAGCCAAGCCACCGCCGGTCGGTGGGCCCAAGCCAATCCTCAAGCGCCACGACGACGCAGGCGGCGCGCCGAGCGAGCCGAAGCCAATCCTCAAGCGCAAGTCGGTGGATGAGGACGGCGAGGAGCGGCCCAAGCCGATCTTGAAGCCGCAGCCGCAGGGCCGGCGTTGGAGCCACGAGCAAGCGCACGAGGGCGCCGTCGTGGTGCGGAGGCGTTCCCACTCCATAGAGCTTGAGTCGCGGCCGGTGCTCGCCGTCGTTCGAGTGCCCGCGTGCGACGCGGGCAACGACATTGGCGAGGGCGGAGGTCCGTCGTCGCCGGTCGCTTTCTTGCGCAGGGGTAGGTCGGCGTCGGAGCCCAGGGTCATCACCGGCTGGAGTCCGGACTACGCGGCGAGGTGGGCTCCTGTGAGCGTGACTCTTGGCGGCGAGGACTTCGTCGCGGCCGGTGCGTCGGAAGAGTGCGGCGCCGGAGATTCGGCCGTCGAGCCCAAACTTCAGTAAGTCGCCGAGTTTGCTCGTTGTGTCCGAAACATGTCTTCGGCTTGTGTGTTCGGTGTCTCGTGGCTGCATTCCAAATGTTACCCAAATTGATCAGAGTTACTCTGGCGGGTCGTGTCACGTGACCACACAGATTGAAAGACACCGGACGCGGGTAGGTTTTAGAACTCTGAGGTACGAAACCCCTGCCCTTGAGTAAGATGGAGTGAATTTTGGGACACTGTCGTACCGTCTCTGTGTTGTAGTGACCCCGAAATGGCGAGAAAATGTGTCGTGAAGCTGCGAGTAATATCACGTGTCGCGGTTTTGACGGCCGATAGCGGAGCATGAGCACGCATGGACACCGTGGCGTGTTGAGTCTTGAGCAGAGGCTGCAGGAGTTTCCGTCGGTTGGCTAGCTTTGAATGTGGCTATGCAGAACATGGTTTATCCACATCCACTCTGTGCTACTGCAGACGTTGCAGTGAACTGCAGTGCATCACCAGATAGAAATTAAGGAAACACTGCTAGTTCCCCCCCAGGGCTGCCAACTCGAGGGAAATTTTCCAGATTAAGGTAATATTCGGGTGCATGTGGGAATAAGGGGAATCTTGCTAGTTTGAGGGAAATTTAGTGCACCGTATATATATCTGGAATTTTATAGATCAATTATAATTTTTTTCCGGGATAACATCGAATTTTATCGGTTTTGGCTACCTTTCGGTTATTTCTTCCAGCCGTTAGGTGGTTTGTGGTGAGACCATCTGGCAATACAAAGGAATACTAGGCTAGGTGGCACAAATACCGTCCGTTAGTATTCATCTATCCACCCAACTTTTTTGGACAAAATCAATTTTCATCGCCCCCTGGAGGAAGGTACCAGGCCAAGTCGAAAATTCCGAGAGTGCCGCTGTGCCTACTCGAAAGAAAAAAACGCTTGAGTATAAGAAGAAATACTGCAATGTCTGGAGATATAGACTTACCATGACTACAGTAAAACCTCGTTATAACAAAGTTGAAGGAGTGGTCGTAATTATTTCGTTATAACCATTAGTTTGTTATAGCCAATGTCCATTTCTTCCCACTATTAGCAAGCAAGGGGAATTATGATTGCTTTGTTATATCCATTAGTTTGTTATATCCCGTTTTGTTATAACGAGGTTTTACTGTAATAATATTTTGTATGGAGTGCCATCGTGTTTTGTGTGTTTGAGTTTGAGAACTCTCGCTTCTGTTACACCTTTTGTTTTGGACTATTATAAAAAGCACAAGTGAAGTGATTAAAGCTGTATCATGTTCCGATGACGTGCGTAACACCTAAGGCGAGATAGAGTTTCATTCGTCAGTTTGAATATCCCGGTAGCACTTCCCTCGTTAGATTTGCTTTGGCCACGATTTTTGGTGCGATGAACTTGTTTACTGCGGAATGTATGCGCAGCGTAAAGGCTATGCGTAGAGCAAGTCGTCTGCTTCTTGCTCAGGGGCTGTGGTGAAGTGAGAACGAAGCCGAGCTCCGATTAGCTTTGGTTGGAAGGAAAGTAGGCAAACCTCAATGCTAGATGCCTTGAGGTGTACCCACTATTTTTTTTATATCAGCCAATAAGAGCTCGGTGTTCTGACATCATCACAACCCTTATGCAAGAAGCAGGCAAACTTGCACTTGGCATATATTTCTTGTAGTAAAAATGAAAGTGATGCAGAAAACAATGAATATTTATTATTACATAATTATTTGGGCAAGCAAGGGAAATTTCGGCAAAAATAGAGAAATTTCGGGCGTTTGCTAGGGAAATTTTGACTTTTCGTGTTGGCAGCCCCCCCCCCCTCTTCCTCCAATTTTTTAAGTTTCTTGCCAGGTGATTTAGTGTGATGTCAGGAGACTACCCAATCAATATTTTGCTACACAGTCGCATATATTTTTAATAAAGTAAAAAAAGAAAAAACGCAACTGCTCGAAACTGAAACACTTGCACGGAGGCTCGGAGGAGAGAGTTGCCGGACGTCCCGTGGATATCGCTCCCTAGCCAGTTTTTTCCCGTTCCTCCGCTTCTCGGGCGTGTTAAGCAGACGACGACAACAAGGACGTTGCTTGCACCGTTCGTTGCTCGATTGTTTCGCTTTTGTATCCCTCGCCCTCTGTGCTTAAAGATCCTCTGTGCTTAAAGATCGATTGGCCAGTACCACAGTTCCGAAGTGGCGGTTTCACGTCCGTCACGACGTCGGTCCCTCGTGCATTGCCACGGAGTCGTCCAGCCCACGGTGTGTTGCCATATTGAGAACAACACGTACATCTGCTTTCTGCTATCGGTGCAGCCATTTTTTTCAATCAATGTATTTGCGGCTTCTTGGAAGCCACAGAAGAACGGGGTTCCCTTTCTTTTCTATTTTTAAAAACGAATGTGCGCCTTAGATGACTTACGACTTTGAATATATTCGGTATACATCAGTTTGAACGAACACGTAGAAGAGAGTGAGCGTGCATGAAGTCCGGAAGGCATAAGAATTTTGAGCAGCAAATTGTGTTCTGGGGAGTTGGGCTCTTGTCAGTCATGTCGAAATTAAAAGCTCGGCGAGGTGTGTCCCTTTGAAGGAACTGTGCAACAGTTTGAGTGCTCTGCTTATTGTGGGATTTGGTGTCTCGACCCTTCTGAAGTAAAAAACAAAAAACTGCTTTTGCTTGCACATCATAGTTTTTTTTGTTTTTTTTTTAAATTAGAAAGATTGAGGTTTTTGGCACCTTTCAACTCCTTCACCATCTTCAGAGTCATGTATGCTGCGACTTGAAAGGGGGACGTGCAGGGTTTTGGTGAACTCTCTCTAGTGCCATCAGTGAGCAGCAAGAACTCACCCGATCGCGACCACGTGCTTGCGTTCGCTTCTCGTGGTAGCAGGTAGAGTTGACAGTTTTGTTGACCTCACATAGATGGCGCCAGTGAAACTCCGTTTAATAATTTTGGCGTTGATAGCAGGTTCTCATGGCTGCCGCTTGCAGTATTTGAGCAACATCGGAAGTTTGTATTATCGCGAGAGCCGACATGCGCTCACAATGACTCGTTGCATCGCACAATCAGTGCTCCATTGACATAACTTCGTTATGTCTAGATAGAGCATTCCAGGATTGATATAAAAGGTGCTGGATGGCTTGCTATCTTCTTAATCTCCCTAATCCAATACAATAATCCCTGCACCGAAAAGCAGAAGCACCAGTGACAAAAGAGATGTACTTCAACCTTTCCAGGGGAGCTGTGGGCTCTTCTGTGGACAGTGCGGCCCAGCTCAAGAAATACCACAGGAGGAATGCCTCCTGCTACAAGACTCAGCCAGTGACTGCCAGCGAGATCAAGGCGTCTGACAGGTAATGCATGTTGACACATTGACTGATATATGCACAAGACGCACAGTCACCTACGAAACCTTCGACGTGCTCGATTATTCGGATGTCTTGGCGAAATTGTTACGCGCCACGAGGGTTAATGCGTAACAGCGACTAAAATTTTGGACACCATATAACTCGTTGCTTGATCTTGCAGCCTCGTGGCAAATCAGTCTTTGCGGGCTGAACATCGTCTCAAAGTATGCACCAATTGCATCTTTGCTGCGTGCGCCAACTGATGTAATGCATTAATAGGGAAGAAAGCTGCAATCATTGGACAAGTGGGAAGTGGTAGTGCCAACTTAAGCTGCGAGCAAATTTAATGTTTTGATTGATATGATTCTTTCAGACTGCCAGATTATTCGGATATCTGCACGATCCCCGTCAAGTCCGAAAAATCGGACGGCTACTCGGATACTTTACGTTTTAGCCTGTAAGAGTCCAAAACTAACAACGCTTCGGTGTTTCTCATAGTCGGGACAGTTGGATTGGGAAAAGGATTCTTTGTGCATGCGGTTGAGACTCTGGTTGTTGTGTTGCAGCCTCGAGTCGGTGCGGTCATTCCGTACCCTAGTCTCAAAGGAGGCTTCCCTGAGCGTCTTCAGCAAGGAGGAGTCAGATTCGAAGCCAGAGCCGGAGGCAGAACCAAAGCCGGACCCACTGCCGATTGTCAAGCGACTGGAGTTTCCGCAGACGAACAGTCCAGACAGGCGTCCGACCCGCGAGGACCGTCTCAGGCGGAGGACACTGCCAATCACGGCTGAAGAAATTATGGATGCCACGCAAGTGTTTTTCTTTATTTATTTCATTCGTTTATGTATACGCAGGTGTCTTACAGTGCATTCCCTGCAGGGTATTCACTGCGAGTACCTTTCAGTACTGTTTGCCTACGAGGGTGCCCGTGCAAGTAACGCGCGAAGGAAATATATCGTTACGGCAGAAAACTTGTTAAGAGCATGGATTCAGTGTTTGCTGACGTGTCTAGACAATGGATTGATGGCAATAGTGTTTTTACCTTTTTCATTGTTCGCACGTTTGAACGTGCGCACTGCCCTCAGAATTGTCATCCTGCCACACGGGCAAGAGGTACTTGGAGGACTAGGGAATGTGAACAGCCAGGACTCTGGTCTAAGTTCACCAATTTTTTGAGCGCCTTTGATATTTGGGGTGACGGCGCTTGCGTGCGGGCATTAATAATGTGTTCATGGCCCAACATTGTGAAGATATCCGTTCGAAATTCGCTACCCTGTGGACTGTGGGTAAATAATCCATTCTCGATCTACGAAATCGCGGGGTTAACGTGCATTGGCAAATTGATAATGAGAGCCGTCTGCACTGGACCGTTGTTCAGATAATTCGGGTGATAAGTCGCGATAATCTTAATTTTCCAGAAACACCGGAGCAAGTCCCAATAATACGTTACCGTATGTACTCGCATGATGAACGCAATTGTTTCCCGAAAAATTGACATATTTGCGGGGTGTGTTCATTAAGCAGGGTAAAATTTTTGCATTTAGACACTTCGTGCAAATTTCATTAGGTGCCAATATGACACGGCAAGGTACTGTGGCACGTCTCCACTGATGGAGGTGCACCCACGGCCGGTCGGGGGCGCGCCACAGTAACCATGCTTTATAAATTGCGAACCTTTTTGGGACGCTTTTGGCGTGCCTTTTGCCGAAGGAAAAGCGCCCTACAAAGCTCACTCGGCACGGAGAGCAACGCGACCGTTCTTAGGCCTAATCACTTTCACGATTTCACTGTCTGGAAGCGGACCACAGAGGACGGTGCGCTTGTCGACATCGATGCACCTGATAGGCGAAGAATGTCCGGTGCTGGGCAATTCCTCGACCCAAGCTTCAAATGTGCGTGCCGCTCGGTTTCCCGTTTGATCACTTTTGCAACTATGCACTTGCAGCCATTACAAGAGTGGCTTGGCTTGGCTCGACTTTGCCTAACCGCTTGGCGGCAAAAGAAAATTGGCTTGGTGGGCCTGGTGGCTAGCTAAGTTGGACACAATTCGAGACTTTCGGAGCTGAAAATTGGAGGTCTATTCATTACGTGATGGAAAAAAAAGTAAAAATATTAGTACCGTTGAGGGGTGCGTTCATTATGCGAATAAATACGGTATATGCTTAAAAAATAAAGGTTGTTCTCTGCTCTTTCTTTTCCTTAGAAAGCGGAACGGGAGCAAGCCTGCGGCTGCGGCGGGGGACGAAGGCGGGGACGACCCCAGCGAGCTGAGCGTGGCCGCGAAGGTGTCCCTGTTCAAGAGGACCGTGGACCCGTCCCTGAACGTGCCCGGCAAACGTCCCCCGAAGCCGACCTCGGCCGAGCGCCGGTCCCTGCCCCGCTTCCGGACGCAGCCAGTGACGACGGGGGAGCTGCGGAAGGCGGCCGGGGGCGCGGAGGACGAGGAGGAAGACTCCAAGGAGGACGCCCTGTCCAAGATGAGCCTGGCCGACAAGCTCAAGATGTTCAACCAGACGGTGAGTGCGAGAGCGCGTCCGTGCCTCGGCGTCCTTCCGTTCGGAACGACGCCATTCTACGTAGTACCCGGCGCCGATGGCGCACGCCCGCGGGGGAAGATGCGAAGAATGAGCCGCTAACAAACCATGGAAGAGTCCGTGCCGAGAGCTTGCGCTGGGATACACTCTGTCTTGCGCCTCTGATTGGAAAAGAACGATAAGCGTAGCGTGTGAAACGGTCAATGGTACGTCGAAAGATACCGGGGGGGTCGAAATCGATCCCCGGTCCTCTGCTGGGGCGTGCCAGATGCCCTGCGTCGGTTTGGCACGTAAAACTCCCATATTTGACTTGGAGCCAGTCTTGGGCAGTAATATGTTACAAGTGAGGCGTTACTGTAACTTCGTTACTTTTTTTGGTAACTTTTAATTGCAACGTTCCACCTTTTTAAGATGTAACTTGTCACTGTAGTTCTATTACATTTTCCGAAGTGACGACGAGAATAATGACGTTACTTTGGTCGTTACTTTTCAGTTTTCTTCGGCATTAAGCTCTCATTGAAAACTTATAATGTGGCCATTCCTCACACTTTTCCAATTATCATTTTCCCACATTGCAAGTGTCACATAAGCCTTGTGCCAATTTGTGCAAATTTTACTCGCACTTCCCGTAATAAATGTGGAGTGGGGGGCATTTGTTTAGTAGTTTTTTCTCGCTTTGTAGCCTTACGAAAATGCTACTTAAAAGTAATGTCGTTCTAATTGTAGCGAATTACTTTTTTGTTGCGGTAATGAAATGGTAACTTCGCTACTTTTATCTAAAAGAAACTGTGGTGAATCACTTTTTGAAAGTATTTTACCTGAGACTGTTTAGAACAGCTCCTGGTTTGGCATTGATAGCTGACCAATCTTGTAAAGATACTAGGGAATGTTTGCCACATACCGTAAAATCCCGTAAGGACGCCCACCCAAAATGAAGAGATAAATGGTGAAAAACAGGTTGTGGGCTATCTTTGGGGATGCCGCAGCAAACCTTTATTAAAAATTAATGATAAGCACCTGGGCACTCGCTACAAACCACGTAACGCAAACTGATACCGCAGATCGTGGACACGGCAAATTTGCATTTCACGATGCCGTAAACATGCGGGAATTCGCTACAAACTCCTTTGTCACAGGAAAGGATACAGCAAGTAGCCGACGCAGCAGATTCGCGTTTCACGGTGCGAAGGACTGGCAGAAACCCGCCGAGAACTCTTATCTCACGGGAAGATATACCGCAGATCGTGGGCGCAGCAGATTGAAGTTTCACGGGGCAATAACCACGCGGGAACTTGCTACAATCTTGCCTGTCACGGAAACCGATATCGCGTGCGTAGATCGCCGACAAAAATGCGGGAATGCGCTACAAACTTGCAGGAAACAAATACCACAGATCGCGGACACAGCAGAATCGCATTTCATGATGCAACATACGCACGGGGAACAACTCGCGTGCGTTACAGCTAAGAATAAATATCGCGCACGTAGAGCGCGGACAAAAAAAAAAGAAAAAACCCGGGAATCTGACACAAACTTTGGAACGGATACCGGAAATTGCAAATGTAGCAGATTCGCATTTCACGATGCAATATGCACGTGGGAACAACTCGCGTGTTATGGGAGCCGATTACACAAGCGCAGATCCTGGAATGGCTAGGGCATCGAGAGGATGTCCTAGCCGTTCTAGCCACCGAAGCGGCCGAAGCATGCTAGCGATCGGGCCACCGCAACTAACCCCAAAGCTGCTTTTGTACGAATTTCGAGTGACGGGTTAATCTTCTATAATCTTGTAGAGGGTCAACAGCGACGTCTGAGAAACACAAAGGAGAGTCCCACTGAGAAGGAAGTTCCTCCTTCCCCTCTTCTCTCGTGATGACTGGGGAGCTGGTGGGATGACGTCAGGTTCAAAGCATGTATAGTTCTAGGCGAGACAGGCATCGTCCCTACCTGTCAAGGTTCCGAGACGGGCATTACAAATGAGGCTTAAGTGACATCCACCAGGTGTCTCTAATGGTTTAATTCGTTATAAACAAGGAATTGGTGTGTCTGATGTGATAGTGCTTCCTTGAACATGTATGAACCACGAAATAAGCGGCGAAATTTCGTTGCAGTATCCCTTTAAGAAAATTGTAAAGATTTTTCAAAATTTTAAAAGAAGAATGTCAGTTTTTTTGCTCATACATGGATCAATTAAGTAAGGCAAAAACCACCAGTTTCCATTTTAGTGAATGGTTTATTTATAAACTGATGTGTGCACACAGCTAGGGGAAATTCATACCAATATAGTGCCTCTTCCTTCATGGGGAGTGAATCTGGACAAAGTGGGTGGGCCATGTTTTGCAGCTTGAGCTTAAGCAATAAGTTGCTTAATTATAGAGGCTCATGTGAAAAGAAAAAGCTCAGTTCACCTACAGTGTCTACTTCCTAAACAGCTGTTAGAAATTCTTTCACTATACAAAGCAAATGTCGAAAAAAAAAAAAAAAAGATGGGAGCGGTCTAGTTTGTTCTATTTTATTTGTGAGCAAAGCTCCAAGCACAAGCATGTTGCCCCGAATCATACTGAATGATGAACAAACTGCAAGAGTGTGCATGCTTGGCAAGGATGCTGAAGAACCACAGCTCGTCCTGGAATTCTGGGTTTCCAGTGCTTACCTCCGAAGCATTTTGCAAAAGTTGCTCTTCCCCATGGAGGGCATTGGGGAGAGAAACGTAATCGTGATGGATGCCCAGGATGGCAAAATGAATTCGGAAGTGTGCATGTGTTGTGCTCTTTTGAGCTCAATTCCCAAATGTTTTAGAGGCTCGAGTTCTCTCTTCCTCATTGCAGGTAAGCCTGGATGTGCTGCGTCAGCGGCCTCCGGTGCGCTCCAGCAGCATGCGACGTGCGGTGCCGGGCAAGCAGGAGGCAGAGTCCACCAGCTCACAGGCGACCCTGGGGCTGCCCCTGACCAGGGCGAGGTCGCACTCGTCGCCACCGGAAGACTGTTGCCCCGCTCCCCCGGCTACGGCGGCTGCTGCCCCCAAGAGTGAGTGCTTTTGATTCGTCACATTGTGTGAAGTGGGTGTGGCAAATGTTGGATTTTCCAGTTTGGGGCTCTTGTTTCTGCAAGAAAACTGCCGGTGTTACTTGTTTATTACTTAACTACTTTTGAAGTAAAACCTCTTTGTGGTAAAGAGTGACAGAGTGAAGGTATGGATATAATGAGGCAAATTTGAAACATGCCTGTAATATCCGAAACTACACACTTTTCAGGTACTGGAGTGAAGATGTAATACAATTTTGATTTTATCTTCGAAATATACTATAATTAAGACCCACATTAGCTCAAAAGGCTCGTGTGTGAGATATACCAATTGGTAAAACTTGATTAAAAACAAAAATCTAATCAAAAGCAGCTGCACACAAATTTGTACAGCAAATAGTCTCAACATCAGTACTGCAAATTTTGTGTTTGTCATCGAAGACATGAGTTGCTGTGTAGTGCACAATTTTCGTGACACAATTTAAAGGGGCACTGACACCCCAAAGGTCGTATTTATTTTTATTGTCTAAAACGATGCAAGTTGTAGTCATAGACACGCAAAAAAAACCGCATCGCGAAAAAAAATTTTCCCGCGCGCGCGCGCGCCTTTTTATTTTTGGCGTTTGATTTTCCCGCCTCTCGCCTCCTCGCTTCTTTTGATCGGTGACGTCAAGAATCAGGAAATTTAGAAGCTTTGTAGGCGACATCTCTATAACATTTAATTACGGCAATCCTAAAACATGTTTTTTAACGCAATTGCGAACGCAGTACGGCCCTTCTTTTTGAAATACCAAAAATCGGGAGTTCGTTGTGGTGCCGTCTCCTGGATTTGTATCCTCCAACGGAAAACAGGCGACACCGCTCAAAACCGGTCCGCCGGCGTTCGCTTGCGCTCGCTCCTTTCCTCCTCGCTTTGGGTCGCCATGGCAACATGGGCAACAGCAGGGAGTGGTGAAAGGAAGTGGACTCTCAGGTCTCCTCAATTTTTGACGTCAAGGCACCGGCGCCGATCGCGCGGGAACTTCGAATTCGGCATTTGGAAATTGTTTTTTTACTTCACGAATACTGAATTCCAAAATCTCAAATTTTGAGGGTAATGTCCCGGCATCGTTTTCAATCGTTTCTGATAATAAAAAAAAATATGATTTTGATGTGTCAGTGCCCCTTTAACCTTTTCAAGTTTGATTCAAGAAAAGAGACGCTTTTACCACAGTGGTTTAATTCCAATTCATCTTTAGTTCCGACTTCTACGGCACGTCCACAAATAGACATTCCAATTCGAAACAAACTGCAGGTGTATAGGTACACTACTGCACGTAGTGATTCCAAATTTCCTTTCCGAGCTCCAAGACAAAACGAGCAAAGTAGACGGGCATTGTTGTCTGTCTTCACAGGCATCCTCAAGCCTCAGGCAGGACAGCAGCCAGTCGTCAAGGGCATCCTCAAGCAAGATGGCCCGGAGACCAAGGAGGACATCCGCGGAATACTCAAGCCGGAGCAGAATCCAGAGCCAACTCAAGCAGCGGCGGTGAAACCCATTCTCAAGCCGGAGCACAAGCCTACCAAAGAGGAAGACGAAGAGGACGAAACTTCGAGCAGCGAGGGCTCGTCGTCCGAGGAGGCGAAGGCGGCGGAGGAGGACTCGTCGACCAGCTCGAGCGGAGAGGAGGAGAGCGAGGAGGAAGGGGAGGAGGACGACACGAAGCGGATTCTGCTCGGCGGCCAGCGCCACCTGGTGATCTCCGAGGGTTCTTCCCCCGTGGCCAGCCGCAAGCTCATCTCCAACCCGGCCATCCAGAGGAGGATAAATGCGTCGCTGCGCAGGAAGGAGGAGGAGGAACGGTGAGTCGGACATCTTTTGTTGCCTTCTCGTTGACGCGGCCGAAATTTGTTTGTTACCAACTTGTTTGCTGGGACCTTGGTGTAAGCCTTTCGGTTTCCGGCTGGCGACGTTGCAACTACATAGCACCGCCGTCCCTGCGGAGGTGGACTCTGCAGACCCCCGTTGTTGTCTAACTCGTCTTGCAACACCATGGTTCTGGCCCTCCGGGTACGGTGCTAGTTGTGCACGTAGGCCGTCAATGTTTACGTCACCGGAGCAAGATATACTGGGCAAGGATCTTGGTTTAGCTTCGTCGAGGAAGACCGCCGTTCTTTGCCATCTTATGGCGGCGAGTTGGGCGGTATCACCGTACGTGTCGTTAAAATAAGTATGGGTCGTTCGGTCGGGTTCGTAAAGTTGCCGCGATAAATGTGTGCTTTTAGACTGCAGCTATGTTTTAAACAAGATTGCAGGAATACATTACATGCGTCGAGGGACAGTGCCACTCATCTCGCTGGCCAGCACCTATGTGGCAAAGGATAGTGTGCCGTTTGTTGTTGAAACTGATTCCCACAGTCTTGGAGTTCTAAGCAAAGAATTACCTCGTGGCAATGAATGTTGGAAACATCGGCTTGACACTGTCTTCCGGCGTTGTTCTACTACTTCCTGTGCAAGTGCTACGAACTAGACTTGTGTTGGTTGCCGGCAGACATTAAACTCTTTTTCAGTCTGGCCAACGCAAACCGAGCTGTTATGTTAAATCCCAGCGGGACAGTAAAGAGAAAGTGCAAGGGTCAGCTGTTAGTCAGTGCAGCTGGTGGCCAAAAGGAGCAACTTTGAGTAGTGCCTGCCACCAAATTATTGGACACCAACGCTGCCTCACAATCCGGCAGGGCGCACGGCCACTCGAGTTTGACTCCAGTGAATACGACCATTGTATGCCCTAGTTGCAGGAATTCCGTGCTAAATAGTGCTGCCTGACCAACCAGACTTCAGTGCACAGTCCCTATAGCACCCCCTGAGTGCACTTTTTGCCCCTGACCAGAGTGTTGAACCAAAATTTTGATTGGTTTGGTTTGGGTTCAGGTTCCCGGCTTTCAATTCAGTTCCGAGGAGGAAAAATACAGTTCAAACCGGTTTGAACTGCAAAACTGAGAATATATTTTCTCCATGGTTTTGGCTATAGGCACTATTTCAACTGTGAAACGAGCAACTTTATAGCTTTTTATCCCTTGTACAATCCACTTTTATTTTCAGATACCATAATTAACAAATTGCGTTATTTAATTTCAAGGAAACGGTAAAAGGAAAGCTACATTAACATACAAAACGTCGCTTTTGTACGACTCGACATCTATTTGTTTACCTCAGTCGCATATATTTTACCCGAATCGAGAGGTTATCAGTCAAGTAAGTCTAGTACAACTTTGCTTCGCAGTTTTAAAGTGGAATTCTATAGTTGTGCTTCTGAACTTGGGAATTAATTACAGTACATAAAAACATAGAATGGGCACCATTTCACCCTATATTTTTTAAATCTAGTTTACGAAATACTTTTCACAATATATGAGGACGACGCAACTGAGCTAAAAGCAATATTTTCAAAATGTCACGAAAGTTTTAGGACAAGCCCTTGCAGCCTACCTTTTATAGAAACGCAAATTGGCAATCGCAACATTTGTTATCCTGATCAACATTGCTTACACTGAGCACCGTGGTGTGGGTGAATAATCGTGCAGAAAAGAGCGATCAAATTTGTTCGCTCTAATTTATTTGAATCTTCTTACTCGGATGAATTTGTCCTAAAATAGCGCACACCCAAGTGAACATTTTTGGCATAGCTTGGAGTTTGAGTTTTGTTCTTGACAAAATGCCGGTCATTTCAATTCGCAAATAAGCATCAAGGGCGTTCAATTGGACATTAATGCTTTCGCGTTCACAACTTATAAGAAGTGCTTAGGTGTGCTTGGAATTTTTTTTGTTAAATAGAACAAAGTAGTATTGCATATTTTAGTTGACATTGCGGCTACTTAAAATTGGTCACTGTCTGGTGGTCTGCATGCGCAATTGTCACAGTTCCGCCACGCGCCCCTGTGTACTTCGTTTTTGTCCCGCCCACAGACACATAAAATTGTTGTTCTTCACATAAAAGAGGCAGTAACAAACTCCTATATGGTTGAGAACTTAAATATGTGTCTGGAATACATAGTTCTCTAGAACTCTGTGTTCCCAACACATATTTAACTTCCCAACCAGCTTTGAAATCAGCTGAAAAAGCAGCTTTGAAATGAGAAATTTGTTTAGGCTCTCCCAAATCACTTATATAGACGCGCCTATTGAGGATAAAAACACCGAAAATTATTTGCAGAGCATATTTGATATAATTTGGGGATGAATTTACTCATGATGTATATCTTTAAGGTGATTGGCCCTTTATTGCCAAATCTTCAGTCAGTAATTGAATATATTTTTATTATCATTGATAAGTTTGACTGTACGAAGTTCACTAACCGCTTAGACAGACACGGGAGGACGATACGATACACTGGGTCGCGGGCATGCCAAAAAGGACTGTGCTCAAATAGTAGATCTGAAGGCAAATATATGAATTGTGCTGAAAGAGTTAATAAATGGTATTCTTCTAAATAATCTCATACACAACGCCTTATTGCAAAAAGAGGTACATAGAGATGCGTGCAATTGTATTCCTAATTACACATAAATAGCGGTAATGACAGGCAACATATTTCTAATAAAAATCACATTTAGACATCAGCTTGCGCGAGCTTGAAACTTTTTAAAATGGTCTCGGGAGGCTAATGCTATATTCGGTTTTACATGCTCTTGTTTTGGGCCCTCACTCTACAACTCTGTGCTTTCTCAGTCAAGCAGGCTCTAACATTTTATTACATCGTTGTGAGACTGCTATGTATACCGCACAACTTTACAATTTGGACATCCACATTTACTAGTGTTGAGAACACCGCATTTCGCCAGAAAACCAAACTGTTTACAAAATTTGCACAGTACGTCATCGCGCTATGTGCTGGTGGTCATTGCAGTTTGTTCTTGCTGGGAAAATCAAATCTTGAAGCTGCAAATTGCACACTACACAAGGTTCACGCTCGGCGCAAGTCATGTATTCGAGAGACACAAATTCTTGCTTGGTGCAGCGTCGTAAGGAACGTAGCAAGTGTCTGGCACCACGAGAACGCGCTTTCTGGAAGAAGTGATTTTGCAAACAAATTTCCGGGAGCATGCTTCCTGATTTCTGCCAAAGATGGAAGCAGAGAAGCCTTTACAACACAGTATATTTTCAGCCACAGTATAGCCACAGTACAACACAGTATATTTTGTGTTTTTACAGAGAATACTTATATTAGAGATAAACTGCACCTGCCGAACTTCAAATTCGGCAAAGTTCGGCACATGTCAAACTTTTCAAGAAAATTTCAACAAAGATTTTGGGTGCAAAAATTCCTAATAAGTTTTTTTTTTCTTTTTAACCCTTTGCGGTCACGTGTCGGGCGTGGCCCGACATTGGAGAAACGAGTTTCCGGTCAGTTGTCGGACGTCGCCCGACACGCGACTCCCGCTCTCGTTTAAACTTGTTCCTCCGTTCTTTTTGATTGGGTTGGTGGCGCCATCTCTCGTCATGTTTCTTTAACACTTCATTGTTTCAATAGTTTGAGTTTTTTTCCATAGAGGGCAGAAGCACTCGTAAGCGGCGGAAGTGCGGGTCGCTTCGAATTTCGCTGGCTGGAAAAAGCATGGCAGCGTTTGCGCCACGCTCCTTTTATGGGAACTCATCGCGGGATTTCGTGGAAAGTGATGACGATTTTAGCGAAGAAGACAATTATGTGCCTCCATCAGACGACGATGAAACATCCTCCGCTGACTGCAGTGACAGTAGCGACGAAGAAGTGTGTGTACAAGACGACAACAACAGTGGAACCTCTCCTCCACGTGCGCCGGCATTGTCCTCGTGGACTGCCTACACGGACGATCTCCCAGACTTCCCTGATGTGGCGTTCACCGTTCGCGACCCTGGACCACAGGTTGGATCGTCAAGCCTCGGCTCCGAACTTGAGTTTTTCCAGTTATTTTTTACGGATGAACTCATCGGAGAAATCGTGGAAGAAACAAACCGGCATGCCCACGAGAAAATTTCATCCATGGATTCGCTCGCTGAGCAATCTATATGGAAAAGTTGGGAAGACGTTTCTGTAGAAGAATTCAAGGCTTTTCTCGGTGTCCTCATGAACATGGCCCTCAATCCCAAGCCAGACATCAAGGAGTATTTCAGCCAAGAAATCTTGAAGAAGATGCCATTTTTTCCCGCCGTGTTCACTCGTACAAGATTTCTCCAGATATTTTGGATGCTACACGTCTCTCCACCTCCGCAAGGTCCCTCACACCAGCCGACACGAGGTAGCAAGGTGAGAAACATCGTAAACTACATCGACACAAAATGCCGTGAGCATTTCAAGCCCGGCCCGAAGATTTGTGTTGATGAGAGTACAGTTGGCTTCAAGGGCAGGGTCTCATTCAAATGCTACAACCCGCAGAAACCAACGAAGTGGGGCCTCCGTGTCTATGTACTCGCCGACTGTAGAACAGGCTACATATCAGCATTCGAGCCGTACTACGGTAGCACAACAACAGAGAGCCTCTACCGGCCAGACCTCCCCTTCACGTGTCGGATCGTCCTGCACCTCCTCGGCAAAGTGCAATGCGCTTCATTCGGAAGTGGGTACCACCTTTATACGGACAGGTTTTATACTTCCCCGCAACTTGCTGAGGAGTTGCTCTCTCAGGACGTTTTGCTCACTGGCACTGTCATGACCAACAGGAAGCATATGCCCCAGCAGCTAAAGAAGAAGATGAAGAAGGGTGACGTGGCAGCGTATCGGAAGGGTGACTCGTACATGGCCCTGGCTTGGCAAGATAAGCGTCAAGTTACCATGCTGAGCTCAGCACACAATCCCTCGACAAAGCCTGTGACAAGAACACAAGCACACGGCCAGGCTGTGACACTGGACAAGCCAGTAGTCATTTGTGACTATACAGAGAACATGGGAGCTGTTGATCGAGCCGACCACTACTGCGCGAGTTACGCGTTCTGCCGCAAGTCCCTCAAGTGGTGGAGAAAACTTTTCTTCTGGATCCTTGAGGTTGCCATCGTCAATAGCTTCCTGCTAATGCAGATGCAACAGGCTGCTCAGGGACTGAAGCGGCAAAGGCACCTCATGTACCGCCGTAAGCTGATCGAACAGCTGGTTGGCGACTTGCGAGTGCGACCAAAGAAAAGAGGACGAGCATCACAATCCGACACTGAGGAGAGATTAGATGGAAAGCAGCACTTCATATACAAGCTAGAAGAACGTACCAGCAAGGACTGCGCAGTGTGCAGCGATCGGAAGACAAAAGAAGGCAGGAGAGAAACAGTTTTCTACTGCAAGACTTGCACAAAGAACCCCGGTCTCCACCCCGGAGATTGCTTCGAAAAATATCACACGCTGTCAAAGTATCGCTAGAGAGCGCGGGAATGCAGAAGCACTGCGAAAATAAATATTTCTTGTTACCTCTGTACACTGGAGTAATTTTTCTTTCTCCTTGCTAATGCGCACAAAATTATATCTGACCGGAACCACCGTCAAGTTGGTCAGACTATCTGACCTCAAAGGGTTAAAAACAGCCTAGTTGCGACACGCATGTCAAAAAACAGATTGTAAGAAAAAAAAAAAAAAAAAAAATTTGGAGCAATATTGATGGTGAGACGTTTACTTAAAATTCTGCACGCAAAGTCAATGACGTCACAAAATGGTCATTCGCTCTTTCCACCTCAACGTGAAGGCACAAATACTTCAATTTGTGGAAGCAAAGCTGATCCACCTTTCTTCAACGCGCCCGAAATGCCGAGAGAAAAGACAAGTGGAAAGGAGGTGACTACCAACCAAGCCGCGTCTCGCGCCTTTAATATTGCTCTGAAAAAATTATTTTTTTTGCGTAAAATCAATTTTTTGACATGTGTCCCAACCCTACTGTATGAAAAAAAAAAAAAAATTTTTTTTTTTTCTTTTTAGGTGCGTTTTAAACAAAATATGGAGGTGGTCGAAGTTTAGGGAAGAACTTAAGGACGGTGCGATTCAAAATCCCTAAGATTGCAGGTAACAACCTACTGAAGAGTCTCAAACACAGCTAAAATTTTATTTTCCAAAAATTAATTAAATAGAAAAAAACAAAAAAAAAGAACAAAGAGGGAAAGAAAATTTCAAGAACACTCTTTTCCACAAATGTACAATACAGGCAGTTAATAGGACAATGACAGCGTCTGCTACATCTTCGTCTTGGATTGTACATTTGGAGGAAAAAGTGTTCTTAGGGTTTTCTTTCCCCCTTTTCAATTTTTTTTTTTTTTTTGCTTATTTAACCAGGATTTGGAGAATAAAATTTCAGCTGCGTTTGAGACCTTTGGAGTCCGTGTGTCGTTACCTGCAGTCTCGGGATTTTTGAATCATGTTTAACATACACCAGCTCGTTTGCGCCCTAACATTTATTTCATTAAGAACGACACTCCTGTCCGATTTAGAGTGGCTGTCCACGTTTGGCTGTCCTTCCAAGGCCAATAGGATCTTTCTTTTCAGGTTCCCCTCACGTACACGCTTGTGGTTCTATATAATGTGAGATTAATAAATCACATCTAGTCCTTCCAATGCTTCAATTCACGGGGATAACTTTCCGAGACAGTTCAGCAAGAAGGAAAACATGTTTGCGTGCCTCACTGATGTGTACATGTAAAATGGATCATGCAACGATTTTTGTACTTTCAGTGTATACCGCGAAGAGCTAACCCTCGACATTCATAAGTTTCAAAAACACCCATTAGTTTTCCTTTCCGCTTGATGGCAGACGCAGAAAAAATAATGAAACAGCTTTCCCCTCCTCAACTTGCTATTAGAATGTGTTGCCACGTGATCTGATGCTCATTATATACCGTCATTGTTCATCATAGTCATACGCTGGGGTTGGCGAAGAATAAGGCTTGGGTTGAGCTTTAGACATTGTTAGAGTTCAGCTATTCTTATTTTTAATTGAACACGAGCCATTACTCGAATGTTTTGGGATGCTAATTGTCTAGAACCCGACCACTCGACTCGGGCTCGAGACAGTGGAGTATGTCACGGAACCACGTGACTCGCGGTGAGAAGTCGTGATGCCATGTGACGTCACGGTGTCAACAATGCTAATAAATCTAGCGATGTTCTCAATTTAGGTCGACTTGACGCACTGAGTCGCGAGACTCCGTCACGGGGCTACGCGACGTGACATTACTCAACGGCATGTCTTGACACCATGACATCACGTGACGATGTGACACACGATTCATTGTAGTGCCGAAACAAAGGCGCCACGAAAGGCCACAGTTTCTCATACATTGCAATTCTGTATACGACAATTTGATCACAACACAGAATTACAATTGCCAAATTTTACTTCTCATAATTCATTTCTTAATGACTAAAAAAAAATTGTGGACTGTCTTGAATTGGTTACCGTTATATTTTTTTTTTTTTCCAGTTTAGTTTCAAGATGGTGGCAAAGATTTCGGCATGGCTCAGCTCCGGTTCGGCAAAAGATAACTGGTTGCGGTTTTCGGTTTGGTTTCAGTTTGGCACTCTCTCCCGACACATCAGTATTGCGGGGAAGTGCCCCTCGCAGGTTTTCATTTCATTTCATTTATTTACTCTCAAGGCCGAAGCATTACAAAAAGGAGTGATGAAGCAAAAAAAAAAAAATGCAACATGAACATAAACACAGCAGGGAGATTACAAAAAATGGTTGCAAATGGCGCTTTTGAAACGGTCGCTGTCGGTGATTGAAGCGATGGAGGCGGGGAGGTGGTTCCAGGCTGTGCAGGTTTTGGGAATGAACGAGTGGAAGTGCAAATTGGTGCGGCTGCTTGGGACGCCAACCTTGAACTGATGGTCGCTGCGGGAAGAAATGTACGATGGTGGCAGAAAGAGAGAGTCACTGAGTAGAGAATTGAAATGATAAACCTTGTGAAAGAGACAAAGACGAGATAGTTTACGACGCAATGAAAGATCGGGTAAGTTAAGATTAGATTTCATGGAAGTGACACTGGCAGTTCGAAAGTAATTTGAGAAGATGAAACACGCGGAACGGTTTTGAATGGCTTCTATTTGAAGAATAATGGAGTTAATATGAGAGTCCCAGATTGATGATGCATATTCAAGCTTTGACCTCACTAAAGTTTTATAAAGTATGAGTTTCAAGTTAGTTGGGGCTAAAGAAAAATTACGCCGTAGATAACCAAGTGCGTGATTAGCATTACTAGTGATGTAGTTGACGTGATCTTGCCATGAAAGGTTAGCAGAAATGATAATGCCAAGATATTTGTAGGACGAAACTTGCGTTAGGCGAACACGGTTAAGTAAGTAGTCACATGGTAGGATGTAATTTGAATGACGTGCAATTCTCATTGACTTGCATTTAGCAGGGTTAAGTTTCATTAGCCAGGTGTCACACCAAAATGAAATGTTATCGAGGTCAGACTGAAGAGCATGATGATCAGCAGGTTCCAGAATTTTGCGATAAACAACACAGTCGTCAGCAAAAAGTTTTATAGATGAAGAAATGCAGCTAGGTAAGTCGTTAATATAAATAAGAAAAAGCAAGGGCCCTAGCACTGACCCCCGCGGGACACCGGACGTTACAGGTCAGTGAGGGGAGTTATGGTCATTGGCGGTTACATATTGCGTGCGATTAGACAAGAAGCATTCTATCCATTTAAAAATATTAGGGTCCATGTTAAGTTTACTTAATTTATACAGGAGCAGACTATGACAGACACTATCGAATGCTTTAGAGAAGTCGATGAAAATGCAGTCAACAGTGATTAAGTGATCTGCAGCAGAGAATAAGTCGTTAGTAAAAGCGAGTAGTTGAGTTTCACATGAGTAATTTTTTCTGAAGCCGTGTTGATGCATACTACAAAAAGAATTAGTTTCGAGGAAGGACACCATATGACAGTATATGACATGTTCCATGAGTTTGCACGGTATACTGGTTAATGAAATGGGTCTATAATTATTGGGACAATGAGTGTTACCTGATTTGTGCAGAGGAACCACCTTTCCCACCTTCCAGTCGTTCGGGAGCGTACAGGATTCTAATGATTGTGCAAAAATCTTTGACAATATTATAGATGAATACACTTCGGTGTTCTTCAAAAATTTGGGGTTAATGCCATCACTACCTGGAGAAGAGGAAAGCTTCATATTTTGAATTAATTTCATTACGCCTGCCCAGAACATCGGGAAACATACATGGCGTGCTGTTAACAAACGATGATGAGAATGCAGAGTTTAAAACAACGCAGCAGTTTTCCCTAGGAACGACCGATTCGCTATCCGTAGGAAGTTCAATTGGTTTCCTTTCACTTCCGCTCACAACGTGCCAAAACTTACGCCGATTAGTTTCCAGTAGCGATGGAAGGGTTTGATTAAAAAAAGTATGTTTGGCGAGAGACAGTGCACGTGCGTACTCATCCTCTGCACAATGATAAGCTGCCCATCTCTCTGGGATCATTGATATCTTGGCTCGTCGAAAAAGGCGCTTTTTTTTGTTTGATAACCGTTTTAATGTTGGCGTATACCAAGGTGACTGTGTATTTCTAATTTTACGAAGGGGTATATAACGGCTAGTAAGCTCAGGTACTTTCGATTTAAACATACACCAATTATCTTCCAACGATTGCTCAGAAAATTTTTGAAGAAAATCTGATAAAAATATCTCAAGTTCATTATTAATCCCGGTGTAGTCAGCCCTACTATATTCTCTAAATACCTTTGAAGCTGCACATTTGCGAGGCGAACTGTTTGGAATATTAAAGTGAATGACGGAATGATCGCTTACACCTGGAAAAACTGAAAGTGATTGTACAAGATCTGGATGGGTAGTGAATACTAGGTCAAGGACAGTGGCACTTGTCGGGGTTGTACGGGTTGGACATTTCACGAGCTGAGTCAAGTTGAAACCCGAGCATGTAGTAAGAAAGGAATTGCACTCAAGAGAGCCGAAGCTTGCTACGGGAATAGGTGCGTCCCAGGAAACACCAGGGAAATTAAAAATCACCAAGAACAAAAATGGGCAATGACGGATACCTTACGTGTAATGTATTCAAAGCATCATATAGATCAGAAGAAACTCCAGAAGGTGAATTGGGGGGGGGGGGGGGGGGGGCGATAACAAGCGCAAAAAATGACATCCTTGTGGTTCAGACGAATGCGCACAGAAGTTCATTCTAGAGGCGAGGCAAGCGACACACCAAAAGAAACCAACTCGTCATAACCGCTATCAAAACGCCACCCCCAGACCGAGTTCCCCTGTCACATCTGTAGAACCGATACTTCTTTGGGCAATTTAAAATCTCACTGTTATCTACTTTTGCGGATAGCCAAGTTTCCGTCAAGACCACAACATCAGCAAGACATGTGTCAATTAAAGAAGACAAGGCGTCGCGCTTGTTGATAACGCTCCTGACGTTACAAAGCAAAAAAGAAAAATCACGTACTAAGGAGGCACTGGACATAGTAGGCGAGGGAAGATTACGATCACCACCCCTCGCCGACCGCTAAAGTGGTGTGGGTGCACTGGGCGCACCCTCAGACCTTGGTGATTGTTGCACCAAATTACGGGAGGGTCGTGGTCGAGAGAGCTCCGAGAT